AAAAAAAGGTAAACTTAGGACTTCGGGCCGCAGTTTTACAATATTAGTGGGATCGACGTGCTGAACACTAAACAAGTTAGAAAAGGAAGATCCTTCGATGATTTAGAAAGCTCAATTTGGAACTGATCTGACGAACAGTTCGATGTAGGAAGAACTACTCAGGCAATCATGAAAGAGTTGGACAAGATTGGTTCCTTGAAGAGGAGTTTGACAGCTTAAGCCCATTTAGACCGGAAAAGTGGCAAAGGCCATGAAAGACTTCCACCTGGCAGAAAGGGAAGGACTCTTGGAAAACAACAATCAGGGGATTATTTAGTCTTGATGCTCGTGACGCAGACGAAATGTTCAGCCCACTTATTAAGGCGTGGTACAAATGGAGAAAAAAGTGGATTCAAAGCTGTTCTTAATAGGTGGAAGTCCTATAGAAGAATTATCTTGCTTCGGGCGGCCGATTTGTTTCAGATGGTAGAGGATCTCTTATAAATGAACCTACACATGGAAAAGAATTGTATGGGCCACATCGCGAAGATGAGCTATCTGAGGCATGGAGGTGGCAGTTCGTTCGAAGCAGAATTCGAAGGCAGGAAACCTCTGGTTCTCCATCTGCTGACGGGGCCGATTTAGTGCGGATGGCGGGAGACCACATAGGTGCAGACCTCCCGATGGAAGAGAGGGACGTGGATCTTCCGATACAAGAGAGTCGTTCGGACCACATTGCTAGGTAAAGCATTCGGAACTAAGGGTGAACACCCACTCCGTCCAGGATCCCAGAAGACCTCTGGTCTATTTCCTAGTGGTGATGGCCAATATAGTTTAGATGGTAGGAGAACACACAGACGCCGAACCGAATGAAGGAAGAGGGCCTTCTGGGCCACAGTACGGAGGTGAACCATTTACATTTGGGAGTGAGCACCCACTCGGTCCAAGATCTGACGAAAGGCGAGCCCCTGGTCCTCCTCCTGATGATGGTTTCTGATTTGGTCCAGATGGTAAAGGACCAAATAGATGGATTTACAGAAAGAAGATAATCGGACCATATCGCAAAGACCTAGAAGTGGAAAACAAATCGTTCCTAACACGATTCTTTCGGCCCAGCCTGAAGGACACGGATTTTT